AGTTCAGGAGTTCCTAAACGAGCCTGTGTCTTCTGTGTGGGGAGCCCTGTGTCCCCTGCGCCCACTCCCGAGGGGGGCCTGCGGGGCCACGGGGCCAGGCAGGCTTTGGGCAGGTGGTTGGCCTGAGGCTTGTCTCCTCCAAGGGGCCTGGCGTGAGCGAGGTGGGAGGAGCACCAGGTGCACCAGGTACAAGCACCCCTGGGGGTTCAGTTTGGGAAAAGGGGGCCACTGCTGACAAGAAACGGCAGACGCCTTGTTGGACAGTCGCACGAATGAGAGATTTATGAAGAAAGATGGTTTGGAGTGCGTCTCCTTCGGACAGAGGGGCTTGTGCCGGGGTCCAGTTTGTCTGCACATGCTGCTGTATGTTGTTTTAGCTCAGGGAGCACAGAGCGAGGCAGATAAGATGTTGTGTGTTTTTTTTTAAAGATGAAATCAAAAATTTTTTTTTCAATTATAGCGGACATACAGTATTATATTAATTAGTTCCAGGTGTACAGCATAGTGATTAGACATGTATATGCTTTACAAGTGATCACTCCTATAAGTCTAGCACTCCCCCCGCACCATACATCCTTACTACTATAATACTGACTGTATTCACTATGCCAGTGATGGCGAACCTATGACACGCGTGTCAGAGGTGACACGCGAACTAATTTTTTTGGTTGATTTTTCTTTGTTAAATGGCATTTAAATATATAAAATAAATATTGAAAATATAAGTCTTTGTTTTACTATGGTTGCAAATATCAAAAAATTTCTATATGTGACACGGCACCAGGGTTTTTCAAAATGCTGACACGCCAAGCTCAAAAGGTTCGCCATCACTGCCCTATGCTATACTTTGTTTTTTAGATTCCACGTTGTCCCAATTATGCCCCAATTAATTATCTGCCTAGACTTAGTGGGACATACGCAGGTGACCAGGGGTCAGCAATAACGGCCTATCCCCTGGTTCTTCAATGTCTAGACAGTTGAACCGAACCAGAACACATGAACACACAAGACAGAATTAGTAGGCAATCACACAAGGTTTATTTACCTATTCCTAGTGGGTCCTAGGCTCCGGCAAAGGCCACCTGGTGATGCACACCGAAAGACGGACAGTGAAGACAGACAGACAGGCGGCTGCACTTGGCTCAGGCTCGCACAGCAGAGCAGTCAGTCAGAGGCTGGTCTCACATCTCCCGGAGCGACGTGGAGTCCTTCTCTCATCAGGCAGGAGCTGTTGACTGAAGAAGGTCCGGTGTTTACATAGCCGGTAGTAAACAACTTGTGTCTTATCAGTGTGGGCCAGACGGTGTGCCTTATGCTAGGAGCAGGGTGTTTACACTTTAAGGGCTTAGGGCGTTCACATCAAGATAGTGGGGTGTTCACCACATTTTGGAAGTTACAGAGTATTGGGGTCTTCACACAGCAAACATTTCACACAATAATCATTTCACACAGTAGAGGGGTTTCCTTATGATCATAACATTATTATAACACACGTATAAGTGAAGTCGTATGGCATTTTTCTTTCCCTCTCTGACTTATTATTTCACTTAGCATAATACCCTCTAGGTCCAGTCATGTTGTTACAAATGGTAAGATTTCATTCTTTTTTGGTGGCCGAGTAGTATTTCATTGTTTATAGGTACCACCTCTTCTTTACCCACGATGCCTACCGACGGGCTCTTAGGTTGCTTCCATATCTTGGCGATTGTAATGATGCTGCAGTGAACAAGATCTTGTGGAATGTGACCTCTGGGGCTTGTGTCCTGTCCAGTTCTTCGTAGAAAGACGCTCCGAGGGCAGAGAGAATGGAGGAAAGGTGGTCTTGGCCTCGTTGGGAAAAGAGCGGCGCTGAAGCAGGTGGAAAAGCGCGGAGCACATGGCAAGCCCACTGGTCCCAGCGGAGGGCAGCCCTGGCTGCACGCAGTGTGGCCGGGTGTCAGCGGGGTCAGTTCTGGAGCTGGCTCAGGGTGGGCAGTTGTGGCTGCTCCAGATGGGATATTCTACTGGGCAGCTGGTGGAGAAGCCTGTAACCAGGCATTTTAGTAAAACTCACAGGGTTCCTGTTGTTCCCTCAACTGTCAGTACCAGACCCTGGGTAGCTTGCAGGCCGTCGGGATTGTAATCTTACTTCTAGGAGCTTCTGCAGTGGCAGCGTTAGGGATGGCGGTTGTGTGGCTTGAGGAATGGCATTTGCTCCGCCCTTGGGCTTCTGTGTTGGGAAATATTAGTCAAATTCCTTTACTAGACAAACACACATCCTCTCACAACCACCGCAGGAAGGTGAGCTTGAGGGGAAGTGGCCAGGGACCCATTTCCCTCCCTCCTCCTCCAGCTGCGTGTGGGAGGTGCCACTCCCTGGGTTCTGAGGAGCCAGCAAGGGGCACAGGTGCCTTTCGGGCCGGTCAGGAGAGAGCCAGCCTCGATCATGGGGCGGAAACGTGCTCAGAAGGTTAGCTGTGCTGGGAGAGAGGATTCAGCCCGGTGACGAAGGGCCCGCCGTGCGTGCCAGGTGGACGTGGGGACATGAGTCCTGGGTTCCGGTATTACAGTGGGCTGGGCTGTCGGCCAGAGCTCGTCTCCTTTAATTCCACTGCACTTGAGAGAGAATGAACGTGGAGGCAACTGCCATCCTTGGGACTTTAGAATAATGTATGGTCTTAAAAGTGCCCTAAGAAATGGAGCCATCTGTAAGGTAGCTCACATGGAAGCAGAGTGCGTGCGTGTCCCTGGAAGGCACTTCTGCGGAAGCAGCTCAAGTTCCGCTGAACCGTGGGATCCTAGGTCGGTGTGTGACGGTCAGGTGGGTGCTGAGAGAGAAACACGGACTGGGCGTCATCCGGAACACGAGTCCCGATGCTGCCCTGACATGTTCCCAAGTCCCAGTGCTGGCCGCACCACCCTGCTCAGAGGTGAGAATTATAACTCACCCGATCCATTGCCAGTTCTTCATTCGCATCGTCATCTCACGTCAGACCCGGGTAGAGGAGTTCCGCTGCTACGTGTTTTTAATTACCCACCCCCGCCTTTCCTGAAAACTGTTTCTGTGCTGCTTACAGCATGACATTGTCCCTTTTATGAGTTGTTATTCTTTAAATCCTGGGCTTTCATGTACCCCACTCTCTATTCAGTTCTATGATGCAGGTTCTTCCCAACTCAAAACTTAATTATCTTTGATCATACATAACAGTTTCTAAAGGTTTCAAAAGTATTGGAATATTGGTTATTGAATATTGGTGGTTTACTTACTGAAAAATTACATTTTAAAAAGAACACAGAAGTGGAAATGATGCTTTGATTTTATGTGGATCCATATAAAAATTAAAATGTCTGTCTATGATTATCTAATTACTAGGCTGTACACCTGAAACAAATACAAAATGATATTGAATATAAACAGCAATTGAAAGTAAAATTTAAAAAAGGAAAAGAAGATGTAGAAGCCCCAAACTTCTTTGTGGACATTGCATAGGAATGCATCGTTGAAGAACACGTTTGAAAGCATAACTCCTTTCCTAAGTTGTAGGTATCTCTTAAGGGGCGGGCTGGAGAGTGGGCTTTATGTTGAGTGAATGTTTGATGAAGATTTCTCTCAATGTAGAATTAGTTTTAACGAGGTCTTCAGACTTCCCTGTAAAGGTCTACTTGTTAACGAATACTCTTGTAAAAATGTTTTAAGAGCTTTAACACCTAGAGGTGCTAAGTGCTAACTCCTGCTCCTGGTGCAGTTAGTAGTAGTTACAGCGTGACACATTTAGGCAGTATTAATAACTGGTCACATGTGACCTCAAGTGCCACTTTTGTTTTGTTTTGTTAATCCTCACCGAGGATATTTTTTTCTATTGCTTTCAAAGAGGGTGTGTGTGTGGCTGGGAGGGGGGCAGAGGAGGGAAGGGAGTGGGAGAGAGAGAAAGAGAAACTTGGATGTGAGAGAGACACATGGACTGGTGGGGAGTGAATCTGCAAGCCAGGTATGTGCCCTTGACCAGGAATTGAACCCACGACCCTTTGGTGCCTGGGCCCTGATGTTCTAACCACTGAGCACACCAGCCAGGACTCAAGTTTCACTCTTTTTGAAGCAAAATTGAGTCCCTACAGATGATATATTCTTATGTAGATTTAATTAACATAGGGATTGCTATGAAACTATAAACACCCCAAGAGACAGATAAAAGCCTGGGAAAATACAAGTCCAGGATACTCTCTATGCTCCCTCTAAAACAGGGGAAAAGCATGCCTGGCCGGCATGGGTCAGTGGTTGACTGTCGACCTATGAACCAGGAGGTCATCTTTCGATTCCCGGTTGGGGCACATGACAGGGTTGTGGGCTCAATCCCCAGAGTGGGACGTGCAGGAGGCAGCCAATCAATGATTCTCTCTCATCACTGATGTTTCTCTCTCTCTCCCCCTCTCCCTTTCTCTCTGAAATCAATAAAAACATATTTTAAAAAAATGAGGGGAAAAGCAGTAAATAGAAAGTATCCAAGATACAGCACTTTAAAAAAGTATTTATTTTAATACATTAATTGAAATAATGTAAGTAATTTATTTCCATTAATTTTAATTATTTTGATTAATTTTGTAATACTTGGGATTTAAGTATGTGAATTGAAGTAATTCATTTTAATTAATAATATATCAAATAAATTTAATTGTTGATCTGAATTCTGTGAATGAGTTATTTTGCTTCCCTAAGAAGACTGAACGTTCTTTGAGGGCAGGAGCCCCACCTGGTGCTTTTGCGTTCTCTGCGGTGCCTTTTCCTGTCGGGTTCCATGTGTTGCGATGACCCTCCAGCACAGTCCCGCAGGAGATAGAACATCTGGAGCCTTTGCCACAAAACCATCATCTCCACCCTGAGCTACAAGGTAGATGACCCACCGTGCCTCACTTTTTGGGTGTATGTTTAAGTATGAAACTAATGGGAACATTTCACCTTATTTTGAAGGCAGGGTTAAATGCTTATTTTGAACTCCTGCTTTTGATATCAGATATTACATTTTTTTCCAGGAAGATCATCCCCATACGATGGAGAAATAGCCTGTCAGCACTGTATTCTTGGTCTGAAGCAGATCAAAGAGGTCTTATTAATTATTCATTATGACATTTTACATCTTATTTTACTTTTTATAATTACCAGAGTCTGTATAATTAACCTTTTATTGAGTTGAAGTACTTAACATTAAGTAGGGCTATAATTACGACTATTAAAAAAGGTATATGGAAGAATTTAAAAATCTTTAATTAGAAAGAAAATGGTCCCCCTCCCCTCTCCCCCCAGCAGGTCCATAGTGAGATTTTTTTCTTGTCAACAAGTATCTTTATTATTTCAACAAGAAAAGCAAACAAGCCAGAAAAGCAAAGTGGTCAGTCATATCTGATTGGTGAGAGTTGTGCAGTTTCATTAGCCTCATATTTTACTTCTGGGTTAGAGATGTGGCCAGTGTCTGTGAGCATCTTTGATTTTGTCACGCACATTCCTAGAGTGCAGCGATGGTTTCGTCCAGCATCCAGTGCTGTTGTTTTGTGGATGAGAAGGCAGCTGGGCATCCGCGAGGCCCCCTGGGGTTGCTGTGAGGAGCGTACGTGCCAGGGATCAGCTCCAAAGGGTAGCTCAGCTGGCACAGGGGCAGTCTCCTCCTCTCTGCTCAGCTCTCTTCCTGTTACACCGTAAATTGGGAAGAATTTCGTCCAAATCTAGTTCAAGTGGACTAGACTGGAAATAGCATCGGAGAACAGAGAGGTGGTTAGCCTTCTGTAACGTATTCTGGCTTAGCAAATGGCTCTTGACCAGGAGTCAGTCCCCTTCCTGTGGACTCTGGTGACACATGTAACCTTCAGGCCGGAACCCAGTGGCGAGGTTACGTCTGAAGGGCAGTGTGTGCCCGTGCAGTGGGGCTGATGCCACAGAAACGGGAGCCCGTTTTCCATTGTCAGGTTTCATCCTTCAAGCACAGGTCCCAGCGGCCTGTTCTGCAGGTTTCTGTGTAGAACTGAGGGCAGCCCCTCCACCCGACGCTTAGGGGACGAGGAGGGGCTGCTGTCAGTTCTCCACTCTCCACTCGCCCTGAGGGTGGTTCTGTGTCTTCGTGGCTCTATCCCGGGAGGGACCTAGGCTTTGCTTCTGCCCGTGGAGAAGGGGACAGTCACAGCGCCCCCCCCCCCCTTAGGGTCATTGTAAGAATTCTGCTCCGGGTGACCGCCGGGAGAGCACCCAGCATGCCCTCTGGTCTCTGTAGCAGTGCCGGGCGTCTCCTACAGCCCATTTCTTCCCCGCCTCCCTACTGCCCCACATGCCAAGCCTCTATGTCCCTTTCCAGCGATGAGCATCTGGTGCGTCTCATCAGCCTCGCATCTAATCTGTGCTACACGGTGGGTGTCCCGCCAGGCCTCCCAAGGAGCACCCCAGCACCCACAGACACAAAAACAGATTTCTCGTGAAGCTGTGCACAGCCCTCCGAGCCCACGTTCCACGGGTCCGCCTCGTCTGCCGGTGGCTCCGCGGTTCCAGCTGCAGCAATCTTGATGCCAGGGCCGGGGGCACGGGGCCATGACTGAGGACCTCTCTCCGCTGTGAGAGAACATTGCGAGTGGCTTGGAGAACTCCTGGTATGACAAGAGGCATCAGTAGGTCTGCCTTCATGGCAGGAGGACAAAGCCAGAGGAAGGACCTGAGTTTGCTATTGATCTTACTTCCCCTGAATACCTCAGAGGTGAATGGTATCTGTAACTACAGAATAAACACGAATGGGCCCTGGTAATTCACAGATTTGTTCAGGAATGGCCCCAAATGAGAGAGTTCTAGTGAAAGAACTAAAATGGGGGCTTTGATCCCGACTCACTGTCTGTGTGACCTTGGGCTGCCCTGTCCTTTGTGGGGTTCAGCGTCCCCCAGTTGGGATCACCTAGCCTTCCTGAGAGCTCCTGTTTGCTGTGGCATTTGCTCCATCGCTTGTATCCCGTCCTGAACAGGCCAGGCACAGCACTGAGACTTTGGGTGCAGTGCTGAGCCTTGCTAAGCTGATGGAGCTACTAGATGGGCTCCAGGTAAAAGGGAAAGGAAAAATCAAATGTGCGGGAAGGAAAAAGGAACCCAGAAACGGAGATGAGACGAGGAGAGAGAGGAAGAATAGCAGGAAACGCTTCTCCAGGTGCTGCCGAACGGGATGGGTGCCCCTCTTCTGCGCTGACCCATTCTGTGGGTGGCACCTGGCTGCAGGTGGACTTAAGAGAGTTCCATCAGGAGGGGCGGTTCCAGGTGATGCCCTGGGCCCTGGAGCTGATGGCCCGGCCGTAGGTCCTGGCGGGGCTCTGGCACCAGCTGCTCTTCACTAGCTGTGTGTCCTTGGGGAGGTTCCTTGGCCTTTCCCTGCCTCCATTTTCTCATCTGCAAAATGGGGATCCCAGTCAGCATCTCAGTCACAAGGCGGTTATGAAGGTCGCAGGTTACTTCAAACAGTGCTTATTAGCACACCACGGGCATTCAGAACGTGTCAGTAGTTATCAATGTTTAGTGGATGTGACTGAGGGTTAATAGCAAGCGTGTCAAACGGGCCGCGAGTTTGACATGCTTGGTTAATAGAATGGCAATTTGTGGTTCCTAATTTGTTTTATTATTTCATTTATCCACAGTTTATTAGCCTTTTGAAAATAATTTTCAAGTAATGTTTTATTTCAGAATATATTTTGTTAGATGCATTTCTTCCAGTTTTCCGGTTTATGAACATCTCTTTTGACACGTCTTTACTTGACCCTTTTCAAAGAATGTCAGGGGGTAATCTTCACTGTTTTATTTTATTCCTGTCTAATGCAATATCCTTCAGTGGTTAATTCTTTTACATTGAAAGCTTGTCATTGAAATTTTTATTATCATATACAATTTCAGGTTAATTTCCTTTTTAAAAAATTTTAGGCAGCTGTTTCCCGTTTATAGGTAATGAAAAAGATTCAATACAGTTTTGTAGGTGTTGCCTGTATTTGCTTGGACATTTTAGGAGCTTGTGATTGCGGGCACCCTAATGGGAACAGCCGTGTGCACGGCAGGTGTGCATGAGGCCTTGCCTGGCTTCAAATCTTTTGCAGATTTAGGAGTAATTTTTTTCCTGTTCTTTCCCAAGCCTTCTCATCCTTGTTCATTCCTCCTCTGTCCTTTCCCAACCTTTGGAAACTGTGCCAAAAATGTTTGACAATGCTAGGATGTCTTATCTGGTGCTGGCAGCTGAGGCCACAAACAGGCTGACGTAGCTTAGCCCAGCCTCAGAATTGCCTTCCCAGCAGAGCAGTGAGCATGAACCCTCGTGAGAGCCAGGCCAGCTAAGAAAGCCCTCCGAGCAATGTCTAATCTAGGAATCGGCTACTACCAAGTGCCCATTTTTAGGATGTATTTAAATTTTGACATACTTTTTCCTCGGTGCTGAAGCTAGTGTGTGGCTGCGGCTCTTAGTCATCGTCATGGGACTTACTGTCAATTTGACTGGAACTGGCAGATGTGGGAATGCCGTCCTGAGCCCTCGCCAAGCAATTCCACCGGCTGCTTGGCCTGTGGACAAAGGAGGGTTTGTTGTCTGCCGGCTGCAGTGGAGTTCATGTTGTTTTGTAATTGTTAGTGTAAATAGTGACCAGCTAAGAAGCGACTGTAATTTAGATGGACATATTTTTATTTTCGTAGTTGGCATCAGGAACCTGGATCTTAAATGCATGAGATTTATTGAGCAAAAGTGCCACCTGAGGCCGCCTTCCCCGGGTGTGTGCCTGGAGGTGGAGCTGGAGTTTTACTGCCGTTGGTTGTGCTCCTAGAAACCTCGAGTGGGCGAAGGTGGGTTGCTGGCCAGGCCGCAGGGATGCAGGTCTGCTGGGTGCACTCCAGAGAATTTCCAGGATGCTGGTGGGGCCTTGGGGTTTTATTTGCTCATGGGGACCCAGTGCTCCTGCCCAAATGCAGTTGTTTCTGGCTCCATATTGTCATGGCAACCCGTGTGCACCTCCATCTCAGCTCCGTTAGCATTGTCTGTCCTTTCTCCTTGGTGCCCACTGAAGGGAATGCTTGCTAAGGGTTTGGTCAGTAAATCCTTTTTGAATAAGTGACTTAGTTACGTATCTTTACGTTTAAAGTACTTATGAATGGGCTTTATTGAGGCTCTACGGTGGGGCCCTATAACACTGGTGCGCAGAGCGGGGAGGATGTGCTGGGTGGGCGTTGCTGTCTTCTGCTGGCAGGACGGGCTTCAGCCGGAGTGGATTCCAACTCACCCAGGGATGCTCGCCTTTTGCCTCCGTGCGCTGTAAAAATGCAATCATGTTAAAATTTAATACAGCGTTCTTTGTGCCCACTAAGTGGAAAGAGCCGTTTTCAAATGGAGCTGAGTAGCCCAATCGATCCCTCCGTTTTTGTGTTAGAGCTCTGAGGCTCTCAGGAGCTCCTTCGCGCTGACGATCTCATCTCTCCGCACGACCCTTTGGAGGAAATGGGCAGGCGCTTTCTCCACTCTGCAGATGTGAAGGCATGACTAGGTTCTTGGGCTCCGAAGGACCTGCTGTGTCACAGTGACACTGGGATAAGTGAGAATGACCATAACCAATAAAATCAATTTTATCAAGAAGCTTTAAGAAAGCATACTTTCCCCAAGACATTTTCAAACAAATTAAACGCAACTTATTTTTTCCTGTTGCCAAGTAGTGTTAATTGAAAATTATTTGGCAAAACCCAGAAATAACCTGTGTTAATACTATATAATGTGTATTTTCCCCGGGATCTATGCATCCATGCATCCACCCACCTATATTCTACCCACCCGCTCCTCTTCCCAGCCACCCATCTATGCTTTTAACCAATACACATAGCTTCATCACTTGCTACTTTTTCTAGCCAGTAGTATACCATGCAAAATTTCCATGTGAATAGATATTCTTACCAAATGTTATTTTTAATGGCTGTGCAAGTAATACATCTCTGAGTTATGAGAGCATCTGTTTCATATGAGGCAGGTGGAGCTGCTGTTGTTAAAATAATGGGAAGTCATCATCACAGCCGGTGCAAGCTGTGCAGAGTTGGGAGGAAGAGTAGGAAGCGACTGAGTCAAAATCTCAATCATTCCTTGATGTAGTGGTGCCAGGGAGGGACCGCTCAGAGTGGCTGTTCTTGCTGCAGGTCCCTGAACCCTCACTTGGGAACGTGTCAGAAGTGCAGGTGATTGGGCCCCACCCAGCCCTACAGACTCAGAAGCTGGGAGGGAGCCCTAGCAACCTGTGTTTCACAAGGGGCTCTGATGCAGGGTAACTAACATCTGAGAACCACTGTTGTGGGATAGGCCAGTCAGGTTCAGACCCACCTGAGAATGGGGTCAGAGTTGCTAGGAATCTTGCTGTATCTGTACTAGCTGTGTCGTGTGGCTGGGAAAGTTGGAAAGGTAGGGCATAAACCCAGGCAGGTGGAGAACTATACATGGCAGCAAGGCACCAGCCCCACCAGGCCCGATGTTCACCATGAGGGGCTTTAGGTGTGGGATAGGCCAGTCAGGTTCAGACCCACCTGAGAATGGGGTCAGAGTTGCTAGGAATCTTGCTGTATCTGTACTAGCTGTGTCGTGTGGCTGGGAAAGTTGGAAAGGTAGGGCATAAACCCAGGCAGGTGGAGAACTATACATGGCAGCAAGGCACCAGCCCCACCAGGCCCGATGTTCACCAGGAGGGGCTTTGGGTCCAGATGCATCCATCCATCCATCCATCCATCCATCCAAGCAGTCCATGATTTAATTGCTCCCTGCTAGGTAGCAGGCACTATGGTAGAGTTTTTTGGATTAAAATAATTTAATGAGTGGATTATCTAAGGGTTTAATACTTAAAAAGGAATGTGGAAGCTTGAGATATTTCCTTGTCGGGAGCTACTTCACCAAACGTTTTGGGATTAAATGTGATGTCAGCTGGTGATGTGAGAGATTTGCCCTCGTATGGAGTGGCTGCATCCTTTTACTCATTCAGCTTGGCAGCCAAATATGAATCCCGGGCTTCACACTTGGAGTTAGTTTTGGGTTCTGTGGGATCAGCAATGGATTTAAAAATCTCTAAATATATAAGGAGCTCATACAACTCAGTATCAAACAAACAGTCCAATTAAAAAATGGGTAGAACACTTCAAAGAAAACATACAGACGGCCAACAGACATATGAAAAGATGCTCAACAGTCACTAATCATCAGAGAGATGTAAATTAAAACCATAATTAATTATCGCCTTACACCCGTCAGAATGGCTATCATCAATAAATCAACAAACAGCAAGTGTTGGCAAGGATGTGGAGAGAAGGGCACCCTAGTGCATTGTTGGTGGGAATGTAAAATGGTGCGGTCACTATGGAAAATGGTATGGAGGTTGCTCAAAAAAGTTAAATATAGAACTGCCATATGCTCTAGCAATACCACTTCTGAATTTATATCTAAAGGAAATGCAATCCGTACCTTGAAGAGATATCTGCACCCCCATGTTCACTGCACACAAAAGCCACACGGTGGAAACCACCCAGGTGTCCACAGATAAGTGAGTGGATGAAGAGGATGTGTTATGTTTCTGCAATGGGATATTATTCAGCCATAAAGAGAAGGAAATCTTGCTATTGTGACAACATGGAAGAACCTGGAGGACAGAATGCTAAGTGAGATAAGTCAGTCAGAGAAAGACTTAATATGTGGATGTAAAAAAAGCCAAATGCAGGGAAGCAGAGAGAAGTTATGGGGATCTAATGTACTGTGTGGTGACCATGATTAATACTGTATCGTGTACTTGACATTTGCTAAGAGAGTAGGACTTAAAAAGAAAAAGAAGTGTGTGAGGAGATGGAGGTGTAAACTAATCCTACCATGGTAATCATTCTGTGACATATTTGTGTATAAAATCAACACATCATACACCTTAACAGTACACAGTGTTATATGTCAATTGTGTCTCAATATTTGTCTCAATAATACGTCAATTGTGTCTCAATAAATGTCTCCATGAAGCTGGAAAAAACCCTTTTGAATTTGTCTCGAGGATGGCTCCCGGATTCCAGGTTCCGAGCCACAGCCTCGCCCTGTCTGCCCGCCTGCAGCTTCCTGAGGCTCCTGGGTTTGACATGTGGTTTAAACTGCGGGGCACTGACTCACAGGGGCTGCAGGCCAGGACTCTGACTGCTGGGCAGGAAGCAGAGCTGTCTTGTCGTTAGTCTCATCATCCACTTAGTTTATAGCGTTTCTTTGGTGATCTGAGACAGGGAGGAAGCGAGAGCTTCGGATACGATTCTGAGGCCCTTTTCAGTCTTAGGGTTCAGGACTCACGCTGATACAGATAATTCCATCTGTTTGTTACATGGTGACTTACAGACAGTTCACATCCTGATGCAGCACCGGCCTCACCTGGGAGCTGGAGAAGCCCTGGGAGGGGAGGGGTGTGTGACGTCTTCCTTACCCAGGCAGGGCCATGTGTGCAAAGTCACGAGCAGCGAGTCGAGTGGCGGAGTGGGGGTTTGGGCACTGTGTTGGCTTGGTCTTCTAGATTTTTTCTTTGGATATTGTGCAATAGTAAACAGAAACGAAAGCACAGGGAGAATTTTTAATGATTTTCTAATCTATTAATTTAAAACACACCCTGGAAGCACATCACGGTTGTTTACTTGAACTTTCTTCTCTTGAAGCTGATTGTGGTGTAGAGGGGGCAGGACCCCTGCTGCCCTGTGTGTCTGGCACCCTCTCTCCAGTGCGTGCGGTCATCTCTCTCCTGTCTCTTATCTCCAGCCTTAGCGTATCCCACAGCAGGTGTGGTTTGATGTGTCAGAAAACGGTAAGGTCTTCATTGGAATGGAAGCACTGCACTTCCTTTGACATATAACACTGTGTAAGGTTAAGGTGGGTGGATCCGCCATCAGGCCTCCCCAGCCAAAGGCCAGTCACCCAATGAACTACACTTAGGACTTGAGAGTTTTATCTTGATACAGTAAGGCATTGTAATTCCAAGTCAGTATTGGCTATTTCACCAGATGGACCTCAAATCCAGAGCTGCTGTTGGAGCAGTCAGAGCAGCATTGCCCTTTTTGGCTGGTGGGAAGGCATTTCTTTCTCCTGCGGGTGAGGAGTGAGGAAGAGGGGTGGGAGATGGTAGGAGAAGGAGGGGGAGACACTCCAGGAGTCTGCGCTCGGTAGGCTCATCCGAGAGCCAGAAGTGCAGCTGCTTTCCCCGTCCTGGCAGGTCTTAGGAAGGCATCGCCGACAGAAACCCTAAAACGATGTCTTCTTAAAGAGCATGAACCGAAATGGGATATTGGCATGTATAACGTTCTTTGATTTTGTATATTTATTGGACATTTTTTGATCAAGAGAAAACATACATACTAAATTATGCTAAGAAGGTAGATCATTTTTAAAAGCAACCAGAA